ATTATATTCCATGCCGAATTGAAGTTTGTGTGGACATAAAACGGCTCAAGGCGAGTCGTGTACACATGCAAACGCTTCGGCTCAATTGCTATTTCATTGTTGTGTTAAATACGATACACATGGACTGAATACCTGCAATTGCCACGTCCGCTGTGTGTTCCCAAGTATGCGAAACTCATTACGAGTTTGACCATCGGTGGCGGCCACATAGGGAAAAGATTATTTTCGAGCAAACGATGGATTATTTCCGAGCGAGGCTTCGGGATGGAGCATTTTAGAGCGTACTTAAAAAGTTGGGGTATTTTCGAGCGTACCTAGTAGGGACATAAGCTGTTGTGATGGAGTGGATTGTTTTAGTGCATTACAGATATTAGTTACCTAATGTGACATACTTAGGACTACGTGCGTACTTAGGACTACGTGCGTACTTAGGACTACGTGCGTACTGTACAAAGTACCTATGATTGCATACTACTTCACTACTTCGTAGTACTACGTACTACTAGTACGTAGCACCATATTGGTACTTCGTAGTATGTTTCAGCCGTATATAAATACGAGGTTCTACAGTAGTGTTTTAGTCGTACATACATAAATAAGAGGTTGTAGGTTGTAGTTTTTATCAGTCGTCGAACATTAGAAGTGTAGAAAAATAGATGTTTTAAATTGCAGGGATGACCACACTTCTTCATTGGACTCCTTATACTCCCTGCTTCCCTTCCCCTCTGGCACCCACAAGCGCAAGGTCGCCCAGCTGACAGCAGCGTAATCAGCAAGGAAGGCGCGGTTTGCTGTGCGGATAGCTGGGGTGGGTCTTCGGTCTTCGGATCCAGCGCGCACCTCGGATAGTCTGTGCGGCGCCGTTGTCGGAACTGTCGTTTATGTCGTGACGTCTCTGCTGTTGGTTGGGTGGCCTCTGTCGATCGATCAACCGGTATGTATATTGTATTTTTATATGTTTAGGGTAGGTAGTTCAAGCCCTGCAGGCACCTTGATTTTTTGTGTGATGATTGTTTCTTCCATCCATGAGATGGTGACAAATGAGCACAATTCGATATGATATTTTCGATTAACAGTTAATTGGGTATGTTATTTACTTGTATATTGTGGTCACGAGAGATATTGACATGTATAAAAACTTATGTTCGAAGTATGCGGTCAATATGTCCCGGCTATGACTTGATTTTGTGCGATAAGGAAGGACATCCATTCATACTGATTTCGATTTAATGTGTTATAGTTATGACTTGTAAAGTATGCGGTTAATACGCACGTGTTACGACTTGACTACTAGTATGTGCGAGCATGAAGGACATCCATTCACATTGATTTCTCGATTTATTTCGGTATGGAGTTGACTCGTATAATATGGCATTATCATAACTACTTCGAAGTATGTAATTGCTGCATGTTTGAGGTCACAGCGCATACTGTACGTTATGACTTCATTTTTGTGCGCACCATTCGAAATGATCTCTGTGTTATGTGGTCATGTTATAAGTATGTACATGGTACGGTAGTTTACGTTATCACTACACATGTTGTATACTATTAATAGTATTGATTTCGGTGTGATGATTAAGATAGTTCAAATGAGCACCACAAGGAACAATTTTTTATTCATGTTTATACTGCTTGTGTGCATTGTAGTTTCTTGTAAAACATATAGTTGCATAGAGCATATATAGAAAATGTACAGTTGTATTTTTCAGTATTTTAATACGTATTTAAATAT